CGCGGTAAGTAGGTTCCGCGCGCCTCGGCCGGCGGCCTGGCCCGGCCCGGCCCGGCCTGGCCTCACTGGGGCGGCTGAGGTCCCCGAGGCAGGAAGGCGCCGGGTGGGCTGCCAGGAGCCCAGCGAGGGGGCCCGAGGCCGCCGCGGGCACGGGGGGCCACCCCCGAGGTTGGAGCCAGCTGGGGCAGCGCGGCCCAACTCCGCTGTCCGGGCCGGACCTTGCTCCTGCGGCTTCTCTGCGCCGCCCAGGGAGACAGGCCGGGGGTGAGGCGGAGAGCTGCTTCCCGCGCGACTTCGCGCAGAAAAGTGTGACCCGCGCTGTGTGTGTCGGCTCGCCGGGCCCCAAGGTGCGGGTGGCCGCGGCCCCCAGGGGCTGAGCCAGAGTCGCGGACACGAGCCCGCAGCGCCCGGCCCGACCTACCGCACACTTGCTCTACTGTTTTTTTCCGTAGTCAAAAACTCCGTGTGAAAACGAAGAGCTGGGTCTAAGAAGGCCGAGAACCACTGGCCTAACCGGAGAGAGCCTGGCAGTTAGGTGTAGTCCGTCCCATAGTCTAAATACCTCTTAACAGTATTTTGGTAGGAAATTATTGACCTGCCTCACTGGCTTGAACCCATGACAGTTAGGGGCAGGCTACATGCAGACTCAAGTGCCTCTGGCCAGCAGCAGCTGTCCTGAGCTTTGCAGCCACCTTGCTAAGTGTCTGGCGATTGGACTTCTGCATCTGTGTTTAAAATTGTCAAATGGAATAACTTCTTTCCTAGTTACAGCTTGTCTCCACTGAGCAGCCATGTTTCCAACCAAACTGAACCAAAGCCCAGAGGAAACAAAAACAAGATTTGTTTTTTTAGTTGTTTAAGATGTTGCAAATGCAAAGGAGGGAGGAGGGGATAGATGCTCATAACTGATTTCTAACAGTGTACTCTTCAGTCTGGCATTTTAGCAAAAATCACTTTAGAAATGACAAACAGAAAGAGGAGAGCTCTTAACTTTCAGAGTAGCTCTAAATGTTTTGCTTGTATGTGTTTATGTATTGTATGCATTTATCAACTGTCCAATTCAGGGCACTTAAGCAGATATTTTGATAGTCTATGGAGGGTTTTTTAAGTGTCTTGTATTTGGATTGCAGTTCAGACTGTTTTTTGCATCAATTTTTTTGTTGAAAGAAACAACTGATACCAGTAAAAATTCAGTTCCTCTCTAGTGCAGCTTTAAAATAACTGCACCAAGAGTTCTATTGTATAGGTATTTTTGTAGATATTGAGAAATCCAAATGAAAAAAGTGCACAAGTGTAAAGATTGCAACTTGTCTAAGAGTGACAGACTTAAGCTGATTAGGTTCTTCCTTTTTTTAAAGCATGGAAGGGATGGTAGTTCCCTGGCTGCATGCTTGTGTTGCTGGACATTTCATAAGCATCAATTGACTATAGTGGCTATGGGTGGCTTCTTAAACTGTGTGTAACAATATTTTTTTTCTTTATTTTGTAGAACAATATGTTGGACTTTGTGTTTGCTGTGGATGATTCTGTGACTTGGCACATGATGAACTTGTTAAAGAATAAGAGTCATTATTCCTTCCTAAAATTTTTGGGGCCAAAACAAATAAGTAATATACAGAACTGTGGAGCTGGAATTTACTACAACACTTTAGTGCCTTTTCATGGTAGGGTAAGTATAACAGCCTGGGAGTGGGATAATTTAGATATTTGTATTGTAGAGTATTGGATTTACTAAGTCAAGGTCAGATTTCTTTGGAAAAAATAATTATGTAAATGTTAACTGAAGATGTAATTGACTTTCGGCTGATATTTCAAGATTCATATACAACATTACATAAAACCCGTTTGCACATAGTGGGCACCACCACACATGCTGGGGCACAGGTTTCCTGTGGGACAGATAGCAGTAGACCCATTTGTCCCCAGGCATGCTCCTGTATGCATGCTCTGGTATGTGGCAGTGACCCAAGTGGAGTAGGAGAGTTTGGGGCCAGCATTTATCGGGGGTCCTGGGGGTCTCCTGGGTCATCAGCAGCACTAGTGAGTGCATCTATAATGTGTGCTCTGCTGTGGAATTGACTAATTAGCTACTCAGTAAAGCTTCACCATCCACAGATGCATCAGTATTGGGGCACAGTAAATTAATTAACTCCACCATAAGACAATACTGTCTTACGGCAGAATGATTAACTGTGATCAAATGCCCATGTGGATGGTGACCGCTGGGTGCAAATTGCACCCTGTCAGTTCAGCCAGCTGGGGGCTGGCCAGCCCCTCTGAATTCCAATTCTGTCACCTGGAGCTGACCCCCTGTGTTCCCTGACAGCCCAGGGCTGCTCTGCCCTAGGTCTAATTGCTGCAGTCCCAGGCACGTGTGTAGACACTGTGCCTGGGAGCAGTTAACTCAGGCGTGAAGTGTTCTGGAGTTTTTATTGAGTTGTTTTGTTTTAAAGCACTGTAGATGCACCCAGTATGCTTAATCAATGTCTGAAGCTGTTTTACCAAGTAACATGTTAATTGTTGGTTGGCAAACATCAGGCAATGTTGTGATTTTAAAAAAAAGTCTCATAAATAATGTGAAAATGTTACAGACTAATAACTGGATTTATATTTCAGTTCATTTTGGCAGGACAAGTATTATATTGATGCTTACAGAACGGAAAGACAGACCTGAATTCAGTGAATGACCAATTCACAGAACAGGGTAGATTTGTTTCCATTTATATGGATACCAACATGAAAAAATTAGACCTGACCACTTATAATTGGCATCTGTATTCTTTAACTTCCAGTGCTCTCTTCTATGAGTATTGGATATAATTAAAAATCATAGAAGTAGTATTTGCTTTTCCTACACACTGGCTTTCAAGTTTTTTGTGTTAAGGGATGCATGTGTATGTCTACTTCTTATCTCCTCAATGCTGAGTTTGAGTCATTCTCAACTTATAACTACAAGAAAATTAAATTTCATCTTTTTACTAAAAGCAGAAGATGTAATTAAGGATGCAGAAAAGCTATGTTTTCTGCCAGCTACAAATTTACAAGGTATAAATGGTTTTGCATCAAAGAGCCACCTCCTAATCTGGGGGTAGGGAGGCAGATACAGGCTTTCTTGATGTACTTGTGAGTTTAAGGGACTTGAGTAAGGTAAGAATTTGCAGCATGATCCATGTCCTTTTTAACCTTAAATGGGTTTTAAATATTTGAACTCAAAGAGCAGAATCAAGGCCTTTGATAAGGTTATGATTCCTACCCTTCCCTTTTGATTTTCTTTTCTCCCTTGCAGTAAAGCAGTTGCTGCATGTTTTTGCTTATCACACCTCCCGAAGAGACGTGCACTTTGTTTTTGGATGGCAGAATATAGGGAGGAAAAAACCCATTTTTTGAGAGTCATGGCTGATTCTGAGACAAAGCTGTAGCCCTCCTAGAACCACTGAAGCTGCTGACAGATGTGAAAAAACAAAATAAAACAGTGCTTTACTGAGAGAGGAAGCCCATTAGTTCAGCCTGGCTCTCCAGCATCTGTATAGATTGGGGGCCTCAGTGGGACTTTGGTGCATTTATCTGAAGCTGATTCAGTCAGCTATTAGATAAAAGTGCCAAAGCGCCCCACTGAAGCGCGCAGTCTATACAAAGGTTGGGCAACTCAGGTCATACTAACACAATGCCTCTTTTGGGCATCTGCTGGGCTCAGTGCACGGGTGCACCAAGTTGAAAGTAAAGTGCTGGGTTTGTCTGTTTCTTTTTTTATGTCTGTAAGCAGACTGTTTGTCCAGGAAGTGTGGCATTCCAGGAGACAGTTTGGGTAAGGAAGCAGAACAGCAACAAGACTAGGTCTCACACTCTTGCAGGGTTAGTAGCAAGACTTTTTTACTGTTCTTTATAGAAGGGAACCAATGGATTGGTGCACCTCTATCGGATCGGCACCAATATAAAGAAATTTTGATTGTGTTGAAAATTGGGATGTGACTGATAACTTGGCTGATAAATGCCAGTGCATGCATGCAGCCGCAGCACAGCACTTGGGCAGCAAGGAGTGCAGCCTGGCAGCTTGGAGAGCTGCATGCAGCTGGTAAGTCTTTTGTGGTGGAAGGGGATGGGGGAGGAAATCAGTGCACCCCGTGGTGAGGGAGGGCCTGAGGCAGGCTCTACCCAGGTGGGGCAGGATGGAGCCGCTGCTTGACCAGAGGGTGTGGGGAGCGGAGGTCAGCTCTTGCTGCTGTGTGCCCCTCAAAAAGGCATGGGGGGTGTGCTCCATGGATCTGTGCGGGTGGGGTGAGGGGGGGTGCCACTGTGGGCTGGGGTCGGGGCTGCGCTCAGAGCGGGTAGAGGTGCTGGGAGGGGGGGCTGTGGCCAAATTTGGGGTGGCTGCAATCCTGCCCCCCCCATCTGTATCCCCCTCTCCAGCGCTGCTGCCTAGCCCAGCTTCTGCCAGGAAGAGCCTGGTGCAGCCCTTGCCCCAACCTGCAGCTGAAGCCTGCCCCATGCAGATCTGGGGGCGCACACCACCCTCCTGGGGGGCATGCAGCAGCGGAAGCCACCCTCCTCATGCCCGCCGTCTGTCCTGTGCCCTGCCCCAACACTTCTCCCTCCCTCAGCCGGGGGGCTTTGGTCTGCCTCCCCCCACGCCCCTCCCCTCCCACCATAACAGACTTACCAGCTGCATGCAGCTGTATCAGAAATTGGATCGCTATTGGCCAATATGCCTCCTTAAAAATTAGCTATCGGCCCCCAAAATCTCTATCAGTGCACCCCTAGTTCTTTTATATAAGTTCTTATAAATGAAGTGTCTTTTTTCCATGCCACAAGCCTCATTACAATACTACAGACTGCACACAACAGCTCATTTATCCTGAACCAGCTCAACTGATGCTCCAGGTATGGCTACTGGAGGGCTGATTTTGGTTGGGTGGGGGCAGGGAGGTGCTTGAAGTATATTTCAGTCTCCATTCTTGTCCAGCCATTCTGGAGTCAGTTGGTTTGACCAAGTGGAACTTAGATCCCTTGTATCAAGGTAGTTTGCAGCTTATTTAATTTAAGTGTGTTGGCAATGGAAAAGTAGCAGTTTTAGGAGTTTTTTAACAAAAAAGAAACCTTAAACTTTAAGGCATAAAGGTACTTTTATGTTTTAAAAAAAAAAAAAGCCATGGAGAAACAATTCATCTCTAGGAGAACGAAGTATAACATAATTGTTTTCTGGTACTTGTGAGCCACAGTTGCACTGACAACAACTTTTAGTTCATTTTTTTTTTTTTTTTTTAAATAATAGATCACTCAGTTTTCTCCCGGGTCTAGAGATGTAAAATTTCAGATGTTCTGAAGCCATGGAAAACAACTCTCTTTTCCAAATAAAAAAAAAATTGGGGGGGAAATTAAAATATATGCAATACTTATTTTCTTAGCACCCTTTACAGAGCTCAATTCACGTTGCTACTTTAAGAACATAAAATGTATTATGTATAATTTGGTCGGATCATAAAATTATCATGTTTGGTATATTTATTAACTTTAAAAGTATGGCTTATTCAGACAATTACAAATTTACTATGTGAATTTACTTTAAAATGCTTTTAATTTCTGTTACAAATGGAGCTACAAGCTGCTGAACTCTAAGGAACCTTGTATCTCTTAGGTTTTGCCAGTTTATGAGAAGCAGGCAAAAATTAAAGTTGAAAATAGAAGAAACCATCAACATTATAGTAAAACAAAAAAAGTTATTATGAAAGTTATTATATATCCTTGACTTAGTCTCCTCCATAGTGTCAAGCAGATACAGAAAGCACTCATTTTTAGAAAAAGAGATGAGGTGGGGAAAAAAACCCCCAAGACTCATTGGATACAAATTTTGCTATATGAAACTGTCTAATCAGTCTCATTTTCTGAGTTATCACTATCAGCAGTTTGCGATTCTTCTGATCCTTCATTTTTATCATCTTCACAGACTTCTTGATTTGGTGTATTTCCAAACATAGATCAGTTTTTTTCCACATGCTGCAGAAGATGAAGGAATCTGAAGCAGGAGAGAAGCAAGAGGAGTCATCAAGTGTTCCTTACATTTCTG